ACTCATCCCCGAATAACCTGTGGCACACACCTCTCCTGCTCATCCTGGCACACACCTCTCCTGCTCATCCTGGCACACACCTCTCCTGCTCATCCTGGCACACACCTCTCCTGCTCATCCTGGCACACACCTCTCCTGCTCATCCTGGCACACACCTCTCCTGCTCATCCTGGCACACACCTCTCCTGCTCATCCTGGCACACACCTCTCCTGCTCATCCTGGCACACACCTCTCCTGCTCATCCTGGCACACACCTCTCCTGCTCATCCTGGCACACACCTCTCCTGCTCATCCTGGCACACACCTCTCCTGTGCAGAGACGTGCCATCAAACAGCATTACGTTCATTGGAGATGTCAGCAGCAGCGCCTTCCCCAGGCTCGTGAAACTGTACGTACGTCATTCGCCTGTGTGCTCCGCCCTGCTGTATCATCGTGTGCTTGTCTCTCCCCAGCCCCACCGTGTATGTTAAATAAGGAAGACGCATGCATTCGAGTTTCATAAACTCTGATCAATAACTTCAGTATTGCCAGTGGCGATACATCATAGCGACAGCTTCACAGCATCACGGGTCCACGGCATTCCATTGTCCTCAGCGTTGCATTGACCGCGTCATTCCATTGTCCTCAGCGTTGCATTGACCGCGTCATTCCATTGTCCTCAGCGTTGCATTGACCGCGTCATTCCATTGTCCACGTCATTCCATTGTCCACGTCATTCCATTGTCCACGTCATTGCATTGTCCACGTCATTGCATTGTCCACGTCTTGCATTGCCCACGTTCACACACAAGTTGCATCTGCAATAACTGCCATGCTTTCGTCTGTGCGCCCTCCTGCGTTTAAAAATCCCCCCCCCACACACACACCTGCGGCACTGCATGGCAGGAATTTAGGCTCCAACCTAATCGACACCAGCAGCCTCATTTATCTCGAGAGTCTGCCCGGCCTCACATCTCTGTCAGTTCACTCCACTCCACTGCATCCTCCCTTCCCCTACACGCACACATCACGCATGAAAGGACCATCTCCTTTGTCGACCCATCCGGGCATGGTGTCAAGTCGGATCAAGTGTGCAACTGGTCATGCTTCCTGTATGTCCAACATGGCCATTCCCAATTCATTCATCGCGCCGCTGCCGTCTGAAGGTCACTCCGTCACCGCGCCATCTGTCTGCCTACCTGTCTGACTTTTGAGACGTCTCAACAGTCTGCCTACCTGCCTGCTTTTATCCAGTAGCCTCCATCATGTGCTGCCTCTTGTGCTGGCATCACCATGCCCACCATGCCTGCTTTTTCTGTGTGGTGCGGTGTGTGTACGTGTGCATGTGGGTGTGTGTGTGTGTGTGAGTGTGTGTGTGTGTGTACACATGTGCATGTGTGTGTGTGTGTGTACACGTGTGCATGTGTGTGTGTGTGTGTGTGTACGTGTGCATGTGTGTGTGTGTGTGTACGTGTGCATGTGTGTGTGTGTGTACACGTGTGCATGTGTGTGTGTGTGTGTGGGTACGTGTGCATGTGTGTGTGTGTGTGTACACGTGTGCATGTGTGTGTGTGTGTGTGTGTACGTGTGCATGTGTGTGTGTGTGTGTGTGTGTACACGTGTGCATGTGTGTGTGTGTGTGTGTGTGTGTGTGTGTCAGTGTGCACGCGTGCGTGTGTACACACGCGTGTGAGTGTATGTGCGTTTGTGCGCTCGCGCGCATGCATTCCTATGGCACATTCATGGCGGGGTCGGCATGAGTCAACAGGGATCTCTCATCCAACCAGTTGGAGGGAGAGCAAGTGCTGCCCAAAATCACACTGCCCACCTTGCAAATCTTGTATGTGCTTCAAGCGGATACCCCTGTCAGCCTTTGCTGTGCTGCTCATTCTGCATACAACGCTGCCATTCCTCTGTGGTATTGAGGTAAACCGTTGCACTAGCTTGTGCATACACCACTGCTGCTGCTGCAACTGTTCTTTGCCATGCATTGCACCTTCCATTGCATTTGAACCTTTTTCTGCATTCCCCACTTGTGAAGCTTCTCCTTCTCCTGCTCTCTACATTCGTGAGGTCAAAGTTAATCCTCTTATGCTCCGTGCCCCTCCTCATTGCATGCGTGTGTGCCATCAGGAATCTTTCCAACAACAAACTGGCTGGAAGTCTACCTGAATCCCTCACAACCATGTCTAACCTTGTCAGCCTGTGAGTTATCATACAGACACTTTGTATCTCCTGCTCCTATGCCTGTTCCATTCCCCGTAATGTCCTTGTACGCTGAATACCTCGTTACAGTAGCCAGGGTAAGCTACAGTACTCCCGTCCATGTACTCCAGATCCCTATATTTTCCACAACTTGCATGTGTGCAGAAACGTCGCTTACAACTTTATGAAAGGAACCATTCCCTCAGCCCTGGGAGAGTTGCACAAGCTCTCATCTTTGTAAGTATTATGTGTGAACAAAAAAACTGTTCATGAGTCTTGTAGCAGCTAGCTATGCTGCATCTAGCTAAGCCGCGTCTAGCTAAGCAGCATCTAGCTAAGCTACATCTAGCTAAGCAGCATATAGCTAAGCAGCATCTAGCTAAGCAGCATCGATTCAAGGAGCATCTGGGTACATTTTCTGAAGTAAATGGTCAAGGCAGGTCAATTTGGCTTCATGAAAAGCAGCTTGAAGGAAAAGAGCCATACCCACTCCATTCTCTAGGTTCAAGGCCTTGCAATGGAGGAATAGAGCAGAGGAGCGAGGCTCACCACTTGAGGGAATTCATGATAATTCCCCTTATTTCAAAGTAATCCGTTTTTTTTTCCCCTCCTCGGCTTGGCATAATCAGAGACACCAACACCAGTGGTCTCACGTGCCCTGACAGCTACACCAGCTGCGGTGTGCCTCAGAATGCGTCCTCTGGCTTCTGCAGCACCTGCCCTGACTTCTGTGCCAGTTGTGAGCCCTAGCACTGTCACATGTTTGCCTGTTTGCTGCTGAATTTGTTGCCTTTGTTGCTCCGAGTTGCCCCCTTTCGAGGTTTCTGCGATGCACCACAAAAAAAGACCAAAGGGATTTGAATCATTGCATGAAGAATTTACCAGGCTACCCGGTATCTTTGTACAAGCACTCGAACCTCTCTATCTGTGTGCAGGTGACAAACCCAAGCCTGCAGCGCCGGCTGTAGCGCCAAGTACAGAAACCTCCAAGTCAGGATTTCCCATGTCGGCCGTCATTGTGATTGCCGTTGCTGGAGTAGTTGCTGCCGGGGCCCTTGCTGTCATTCTTTACTATCACTTATTTTACAGTGAGTAGACTCGGGGTTACTTTCTCGGCAATTCTGTGCTGCTCTGCTCCTCACTCTTGTGCGCTCTTGTGGGCTTGTAGTACCAATAAGATGACAAGGAGAAACGCTAACCTATTACAAGGTGATTTTTGAGTCGGCTCAAAAGTCAACTACTACTACATTCTTTTCTTTCATTTATTCTCCTTGCCTCCCTTGGTTCTCCAAAATCTCCTCGTCCTTATAGGGCATCTTAGAAGCAAGGTGCCATCGCATGTGTGTCAGCGGTATCCGCTGGCGGCGGTGGCGAGAGCAACGGACGGGTGGTCACAGGACAACCTGCTGGGCTCAGGAGGTCATGCCAGTGTCTACCGTGCCGTCTCTCCCACCGATGGCACCACGCCGTGGGCCGTGAAGCGAGCCACGAACATTACCAACGACTTTGACACCGAGGTGTGTGCGTGATGTGTGTGCGTGATGTGTGTGCGTGTGTGCGTGTTTGTGTGTGTTTCTGTGTTTGTGTGTGTGTGTGTGTGTGTGTGTGTGTGAGCGTGAATGTGTGTGTGTGTGTGTGTGTGAGCGTGAATGTGCGAGCATGCACGTGCGCGCGCATGTATGTATTGTGTTAATTCTTCATTCAGAGTAGCCAGCCCATGGCATTTTATGTCACAGTGACTGTCTTCAGGCATGTGTAACGTGACATATTTGCGATACTTGCTCTGCTTTTGTCCCTGACTGGCAGGTGTGTGTGATGGCCACAAAAAACCACCCCAACCTCGTGCGCCTGCTGGGCTACGCCATTGGCATCACCGACAAGACAAGGGTGGAGCAAATCCTCATCTACGATCTCATGCCCAACAAGGACCTCTCCTGCTGGATTGGAGAAAGTATGATTCTGGAATAGTGAGCTGCTACTAGTTCCTCTGCACTAGATCGGAAGAGGTGGTGTGAATTATCGCCGTGCACATGTGGTGCTCTGCCACAGTTGACGATTTAGAAACAAGAGCCATGTTCAGGTTCAAAAGTTTCCAATCCATCTGCCCTTGCAGGTGTTCCTCTTCACACAGGTCTCCTTGCCTACTCTCTTTGTCACCCCACTCCACCCCTCTGTTCCCATCCCCTCTCCCCTCCAGAGGCAGCAACGCCGCTGAGCTTTGAGCAGCGTGTGAAAGTGCTGGTGGGGGCGGCACGTGGCTTTAAGTATCTCCACAGCGTCCCCATCTATCACCGCGACATCAAGCCCGCCAACATCCTGCTCGACCAAAACATGCAGGCAAGCCACGTTGCATCGCTACCACAGCTCTCCGTGCATTGGGCTGTGTGTATGCGTGTTGTAATTAGTGTGCGAGTGCATACTAAGATACGTCGTCTCCTAATGCATGAGTGCAGGCTAAGATTTCAGACTTTGGGCTTGTGAAGATGGGCGGGGGCACCACCGTGAAGAGTACGCGAGTGGTGGGAACACCGGGCTATATGGACCCCTCCTATGTTGCAACCAATAAGGCTACCACCGCCACTGATGTCTACAGGTGAGCAACAACCCTCTGATTGCTCCAACTAGTTTCATTTCACTACTGGGTGTGTCCCATGCGTTCCTCTCCGCTCCTCTCCGCTCCTCTCCGCTCCTCTCCGCTCCTCTCCGCTCCTCTCCGCTCCTCTCCGCTCCTCTCCGCTCCTCTCCGCTCCTCTCCTCTCTTCTCCTCTCCTCACTCGTCCATGGGGTGTCGTGGTGTGCAGCTTTGGCATTGTGATGCTTGAGGTGATGACAGGGCGCCCCATCAAGGGGCGGGTTACCGCCGATTCTGTCGTTCCCTCCGATGAAGAGGCGGGTCAGCAACTGCACATCCTTCCCTGGGTATGTCACTAGAGAATGCCACCGTAGCCGCACTTCTGCTCTTCTTTCTCACACATGCACATGCCTTCATTACCTCATCTTGAAACCTGCTTGTACCCCACCAGGTCCAGCAGCAGCTGGCTCAATATGGCGGCAGTGAGGCAGTGGCAAGTCTCAAGGACGCGCGCATGGAGGCGCGGGATGAGTTGGTGTTGAGGGTGGTGCAGCTGGCACTGCGATGCACCGCCATGCCGAGTGCCACGCGGCCGGCCATGGGGTTGATTGCAGCCGAGCTGGAGGCCGTGCTCGTGGAGCTGGGCGGTGGCAACTCCGCCGCCCGTCAGGTGGACCAGCAGGTGGAGTCGCAGGGACAGCCACCTATGGATTTTGATGAGGAGATGGCGCGTGTGAATGCATTGGTAGTTCACAGCTGATAGTTCACAGCTGTGTCACCGCATTTTGACGGAAGTTTTGCCTAGGTAGGCCCATGTTTTTGCCTTTCTTATTTACGGAATCACTTTCATTACTCGAAGCTGGCACTCAAGGGTTGGATCCAATGACAGGGTGGTTGCCGGAAATGAAAGAATAGAAGAAAAGGTTACTGTTCAGTCGAGCAAAATCAAAGATTTGTAAGATCTATAATGATGGCTTGGAAACCAAGTTTGCATCCTGTCAAGATTTACTTCTGTTGCCCATGGACAGAGTTACAGTATGTAGTACCCAATTAAGTGAGGACAACATGACTACGGCTAATCTGTAGGCAGCACTTACGGTTTGCGGAGACAGGCTTAATATTTTCAACAGAGGATGATCCTGAAACGAGTATCATGTGGATCCACACAGTTTCAGCACTTACGGGTACGACTGGGCAATACTGGCTCTGTTCTGTAGGCTCCGGCGAAGGGGGGGCGAGGTAGTAGGTAGCTTCCCCATACTGCGTTTTTTGGGTTGGGAGGCGGTCAGCCCGGAATGGTGCCGAGCCAGCCACTTTCCCTCCGAACCTGTTCGAGGGAAAGTGGCAACAGAACAGCCATTTACCCTCGAGGGTTTGAGGGCCTAGGAAGCACCCAACTTCCCCTCCGCACCTTCCACCCCTGGCAAAAATCCAGGCTGTTAAGGCGAAGCCCTGCACGCGCCTGGTTTCGCGTGTAGCAGCCCTATGCGGAGTAGCGAGACTTCGCATACCGCATACCGGTTTTACCAGTATTGCGGTATTCGCCAAGTACACTCCAATCGGTGCGCTTCGGTATGCACATTTCGACATTGGACCAGGGAAGTGACGACATTGCACAAACGCGTATGTGCCACTGTCAATGTTACAAGAACCTGCGCAACTACTCCTGAGCAGGTAGAAATACACCTGACAGTATTTTCACCTGATGGTATTTTCACCTGGCGGTGCCAACCTGGAACCGCATTCTAGAGTAGGTGCTTGCACGTTCTCCTTGAACAACGTTCTTCATGAACAACGTTCTCGTAGAACGTTCATGCACACGTCACTATGCTTCTCTATAAGGTTCATGTTGTTTCTATTGTAATCTATCAATTAATGAATTTCTTTCTTTCCGTTACTGCATAACAAGTTGGCTTCAGTATTCGGTTTCCACAAGTCAGTATTCGGTTTACAAGCATCCGCTTTGTAGGACAACTCTGACGGCTGAAGGACAACTCAACCCGGCTGCGACAAATGAGGCGACAACCACGATTGGCACTGCCGCTCTCGAGCAACTTTTCGCTCGACTTTCAACTATGGAGAAAGAACTCCAAGACCTGCGCAAAGGCGATGCGGGAACCTCTTCCCAACCAGTACAACCTGGACAACCGGCTGAGAAAAGCCGTGATACCGCCACGCATACCTTCTCCCTCGACACAGACAAATCAACAATAACTGCCCCCCGTCCAAGTGATGAAGCTATCAACTCTGCGCAAACACGCTTTCTTAGCGTTTCAAAAATCAAAACTACTGCCGCGTTTGACGGCAAGGACTTCTACACATGGAGTTTCGAGCTTGAGCTCCTCCTACAAACGGCGCAGATCTACCATTACTTCGACGGCTCCTACCCTAAACCTGTGGAAAACACCGAAGTCGCCAGGGCTCAGTACTACAGCGAGTCCCTCATGGCCTACAGTGTGCTGCTACCCAACATGACGCCTGCGGAACAACTTAACATTCGCTCCTACAAAGAGAGCGACGCTCCAGCCTTGGAAGCCTGGAAGCACCTCGTTGAAGTTTACCAGCCGAAGGATTCGGTCACCGCCAGCAGGCTTCTGCAGCAACTTTTGGAGATAAAGATGGGGCACGGGGAGAAAGCGAATCCGTATATTAACCGCTGTCGCAACATTTGTGACCAGATCACGAAGCATGGGAGTACAATCTCGGAAGAGATTTTCGTCAACATAGTCCTTCAAGGACTCGGGCCAGAGTGGAAGCCCTGCAAAGCGCTACTCCGATAGCGAGGGATCATCTCAGAGGCCGCGCTATGCGCCGCACTCCTGTCCGAACAGCAGGACATGGATTCGAGCAGAACAAGCTCCGCACCGCGCCGAGAGCGCCTCGCCTTCTACGCAGACAACCGAGAAGAGCGACGACAACCAAGGCGCCATTATTGCAAAATATGCAAAGTCTTCGGACACTCAACGGATCGATGCAAATCCCGATCCAACTTCCGCCACCCAAATTCCACTCACCACAACAACTGGGTCGGCCGACAAGACACTTGTCACTCTCAGCCTCAGCATCAGACAGTTCGTCCTCCTACACAGCATCAACACTAGCAAACTCAAGGACCTCAATCAGGAGCTCCCAGGAACATCATCGCGAACATGGCGACGCGCCGACGCTGCACTGCTGAACCTGACGAAGCGAACGAAGTTCAAGGAAGACTACTGGAACCAAAAGAGGGATGGAACAATCCCCTCACTGAAGACCACTATTACCTGTATGACGAGGACGAGCAGGATTGGAATCAGCCAATCACATTGCGGGAAAGCCCGCCACATGACAACCAGCGCTACGTACCTGTGGGATGGAAGGAAGAAGAAGACCCCCTCTTCCACAGGCGCTACAAGGCAACCCTGGTGACTCCGCGACTGGCGCTACTTCTGCGCAGGAACAACACCGACAACTACAACACCTGGTACCTGGACAGCTGCTGCGGACAGCACATGGTGGGATCCACGCGATACGTCTCAAATTTGAGTCGCGCCCTCGCAACCTACGTCACCGTCGCCAACAACGAGCAGTTACGCGCCAATGCGCAAGGCATCGTTGTCCTGCAAGCACGAGACAACAACACACACATCTCATTCAACGACGTGCTCTACGTCCCGAGTCTGCGCTTCAATCTGCTCTCGGCTGGACAACTCTGCGACTGTGGTGTCATAATTCACACGGACCTTGCAACTCGCGACCTCATCCTCACGTACGCCCCTCCAGACACACCCCCCGAGTCATTCAAATACCTCGGTCGAGCCCGTTCAATAAACGGGATATATGTCTTGGACTTCGACGTACCCAATTGCCAGGCCTCATCAGACGAGCTCGTGGACCTTGTTCCCCTCGAGTTCGCCTTCATGAACAAGGAGTCATGGGAGCATCCAGATGGACGACCATGGGTTCACCGCAGCCCTCACCCCCGTGAGATCAACTTGCACGAACCAGACATCAACGGTCTCTGCACCACCTGCCACACACCCACTGGGAGCCGCACAGAGCAAGTCGAAAAGGACTTTGCGGCAATTCAGGAAGCAGAAAGTGCCGAGGCGGAACCTACCGGCATGACCAGAGAAGAGCTCGCTGTGTCATCCTACCGCATCTTCGGCGAACCATCCAATGACCCCGGACGTCAGCAAGAGGAACGAACCTACACCGAGAACCTCCGGTTCGTCCTAGAAGCCAACACCACCACCTTCGACGAAGATGGACGACCGCGCCCATACACCCGCGAAGTCTACCGTCACGAAATCGACCCAGCTTGGAAGGATCCTGATGCAGACGGGGAGCTAAGCGTCCAGGAAGAACGAGACAAGGCCCGAGCAGAAAAGAAACAAAAGCTGTATGAGGAACGTGTCGCGGCAGGATGGGACGAAGAATCAGCACGACGAGGAGCATGGGGAAACGAGGATTACGAACCAGAAGGCGGCGCAACCTGGGCAACCGCCACTGGAGCATGGGGAGCCAGTGCCAGCGGCACGGTCACTATGGGAGGATGGGGAACAGCAGAGCCCGAGGAAGGGGAGCTCACGCAAGAAGAATTGGAGGAAGCTGAACGAGAGATGAAAGCCGAGCGTGGAGAAAAATCACCACGTGTCGCCACGAGAAAAATCACCCCTCGGACGACCCCCACGCACTCGTGAACGACCTCGCTCACCTCATCGTTGGAGCGATCCCTGGTCGGAGATTGAGGAGGGGAATATACCACCAACGCCTCCACGGGACTCACTTGGTCCAATCTCCCGACCAGAACCATTCGCTCGCTTCATTGAAGGCACCACGACCCCGCTCACAATCATTCCCGACCGTGAATTCCTCGCCCTTTACCTCACAACGGCACCTGCAGAAGGGGAGACAACGGCAGAAGCAGAAGCAGAGGAGCCGGACAACAAAGCAGAGCTGGGAGAAGAGGAAGAACCTCCGCTCCAGATCCCCCAACTTAAGGAAGCAGAAGCAGCAGAACATCATGCTCGTTACAAGCGCACCTCCGGTATTCGCGCCAAAGATGATCTCTGGCACCAGCGGATGGGCCACCCCTCGCGCCAGACACTCGCCAACTGCCTCCGCGCTAAAGTCTTTCCGCCAGGAGCACTGCTGCGCCCCGACGGAACGGAACTACAGAACAACACCCCACACCCGAGCACCTGCACTATCTGTCCCACAGCCGCACTCTCTCACACCGCCTACCCCTCTCTGGAGCCAAGCACAAACCGCTACAAAAAGCTGGAGAAGGTGTCCAGTGACTTCATCGTGCTCACCTGCGATGGACTCAACGGCGCACACACTGACCTTCATCGACGCCTATTCGCGCCACGTGTGGGTCGCCAACGTCGACGCTCGCTCCAAGGCTCCAGAAGTGTTCCGCATCTTCCTCGCGCACGCGCAGCGCCAGTCAGGAAGGAAACTGAAGATCTGGCAGAGTGATGGGGCAAAGGAATTTCGCAGCAACGAACTGGAGAGCGTTCTCACTGAGAAGGGGATCAAGCATGAGATTTCCCTCCCCTACGCTCACCGGCAGCAAGGTGTCGCTGAGAGGGTCTATCACACTCTCATGACAAAAGTCCGCGCTATCATGAACCAGTCCGGCCTGCCAAAGAAGTTTTGGCCCTACGCCATGAACCACGCGGTGCGCCTGCACAACCTCCTCTCCACCACCGCCAACAGGGATAACCTATCCCCTCACATGAAGTGGACCGGCTCAAGGGGAGACCCCTCCATGCT